CACCTTCCAGTATTTTGATGTTTCAACGTAATTAATTAGAACTTGATTTCAGGAATGCTTCAACTAGGTGAACACGCACTAGCTCCATCAAAGAGCAATGAAAAAGAGAAAACACAGTGTTTAACTAGCCTAAATCCGGAGAGCAGCTTCACAGCAGTTATCTCGCTCTACGGTTCATGCAGTGACCGCTCTATCACTTATGGAGCGGGATATGGTTGTGTTCTCGTATTGACTGTTTTGTAACTTTTATTTGGCTCCAGAGTACTATATAGTCAATATGTGGTTACAAAACAGTTTACACGAGGACACTATGGATTCAAATTCCCTTAACAAGGGGAATCATATGTATATGGCTGAAATAATTGACCAAACTTGATAAGCGCATATAGTTATACAGTAGTTACTTCTGCTGGTCAAAATATTGTTCCGCAGTCAGGGGAGAAAAGAAGCATATGCCGGTATGCATTGCATGAAATTAAATCGTGATTCATGTCATTTTTTATAAACAGACATGCACTTGATATGTCGTTGAAAAAGGGAAAAAAATCATACATTTGAGATGATTTCTTTATTTTTTTATTACGTAAAAAATGAACTTAGATTAGACTTAATTACGGCTCCATTTCTTCCTCATTGCGAAAAGGACGGATACATAGTCAAAATTTGCCATCATGGGGTAAGTAGGAGGGAAGAAAATGTGTTCCATTCCTACTCCCTCCAGTCCCGTAATAAAATCTACGTGATGGGAAGTTCGTATTGCTTTCGCCAATGATGAAGGTAACTTTTGCATAATGCTTACCAACCTACCAACAGTCAAAGTTACTTTTTATTGTAGATGACGTTTTACCGTAGTGACAAAAAATGATGATGCTTATGCAATTTGATGCAGTTTCGAGCCCACCAATCCCTTTTCTCCTAATAACTAACAATTTAACCCGCTAAGGTTATCGTTTGTAAAAAAAAAAAAGGTTATTTTTAAACAAAAGGACCAAAGTTAATGAAAGAACGTCAAATAAGGTCATGTACGTTGCTCTTCATTTTCTAATCCCTGCATGAATCTGATCACATGTCCTAGTCTTATGGTTGAGAGATTTTTTATTGCGTCTGAACGTCATCGCATAATATTTATATTAACTCTACAACTCACTCATATTATAACGTTTACGTGGACTAAAACATGACGTGAGTACATACTAATTTTTTTTTTTTTCAGTTTAGTTCGTTCATAAATTTTCTTAATTAGCTCTAAATATACAGTAAGATTAAAGAACAATAGGATTAATTAATCAGTAGCACTCTTATCATAGTTCATGCCTGATCCCTCATAGTTCACTAATAATTAATGACATCACATAAAATAATCATCGATATGTATCATTTTCATGATGATCTAGCAATGGTGAAACAGAAGGAAATAAAAGTAAAGAATCATAAAAAGGGGGCAGTTATTTTTTGTGCGTCTCTGGAATATATTGACACACAAAAGTCAATAATTTGACTCGGTCGGTTTGAAACATCCAGGGTTCCCTTGTTAACGGTTTACAACGAGCAGATAAGCAACCTGAAATTACGATCAGGAGGACCCACATTCTTATATTAATCACGCCATCACTCTCGGCTTTTACTCCGTTATAAACCCACTCAGCTCTCATCCATTGCCCATCACACCACCACCTCGATCCCCTTAAACTTCACTTTTACCTCTTACTCTCTCCCTGCAAATCAAGTGAGAGCTGCAGGGAAAAATGGCTCAGCTCTCACTTTTGCTTACAATTTTTCTCATAACTTCTTTAAGTGCAACTTTTGTTTCCTCTTCACAAGTTCAAGACCCTGAACGAGTAGTAGAGGAGGTCCATAGGTAAATGATACACACGTTTCCTTACCTTTTAATTAATTATCTATATGCTTAATTCGTTGATTTATATTTATGCAAGTACATAAATTAATGTTTTGTATTGTTGTGTGTGTATATATATAGGAGCATCAATGCCTCCAGGAGGAACTTGGCCTACTTGTCTTGTGGAACTGGCAACCCAATTGATGATTGCTGGAGGTGTGATCCCAACTGGGAAAGAAACCGCCAGCGCTTTGCCGACTGTGCCATTGGCTTCGGCAAAGACGCCATCGGAGGAAGAAACGGTCGAATCTACGTCGTCACCGACTCTGGTGACGACGACCCAGTAAATCCTAAGCCAGGGACCCTAAGACACGCAGTGATCCAGGACGAGCCCTTGTGGATCATATTCAAAAGGGACATGGTGGTTCAGTTAAAACAAGAGCTAGTTATGAACTCGTTCAAGACCATCGACGGCAGAGGTGCGAGCGTCCACATTGCTGGAGGGCCATGCATCACCATACATTACGCTACCAACATCATCATCCATGGTATCCACATACACGACTGCAAACCGGCGGGGAATGGGAACATAAGAAACTCGCCGGAGCACTCGGGGTGGTGGACTGTGTCGGACGGCGACGGTGTATCTATTTTTAATGGGCAGCATATATGGGTGGACCATTGCTCGCTGTCGAATTGCCATGATGGACTCATTGATGCCATACATGGATCCACGGCCATCACCATATCGAATAACTACATGACTCATCATGATAAGGTCATGCTTTTGGGACATAGTGATTCGTATACACAAGACAAGAACATGCAAGTCACTATTGCCTTTAATCATTTTGGAGAAGGCCTTGTCCAAAGAATGCCAAGGTATGATTTGGAACATGATTTTCCCACGTTCGTTTTCTATTTTTCACACTCATGTTTAATTCTTGTCAGTTTTTTTTTCATTGATTTAAAAAACCACATAAATACAAAGGTGTACATGAAGAAAATACGCATTTACGCATGCGAAATCACTTCCCTTTATAATTAATGTGTAACTTTTTCAAACTCAACTTAAATTTAAAAATAAAAATAAAAAAATAAAAAAATAAAAAAAATAAAACTTTTATTCTCCACTCCTGTGAAATGATATAAAACAAAATGATGAAAACTAAGACATACTGAAAATTGCAGGTGTAGACATGGATATTTTCATGTGGTAAACAATGACTACACACACTGGGAAATGTACGCAATAGGAGGGAGTGCTTCCCCAACTATCCTCAGCCAAGGCAATAGGTTTCTTGCACCGGATAGACGTTTTGATAAAGAGGTAATTGCAATTGCATTTCCTAAATTTACAACTACTAACTATCAATAGTGCTAATTTTACCACAGTTACTACTCCCCACAAGTCATCGTACGTATGTAAATATGAGGAGCGCTAGTTAGTTATCGATGCATGGAAAATATTAATATACTATGTGATGAACGCAGGTGACTAAACATGAGGATGCACCAGAAAGTGAGTGGAGGAAGTGGAACTGGAGGTCAGAGGGGGATATGCTGTTGAACGGGGCTTTTTTCAGGCAATCAGGAGCAGGAGCCTCTTCAAGCTATGCCAGGGCTTCCAGCCTCAGTGCAAGGCCTTCTTCTCTTGTAGGTTCCATCACCACCGCCGCCGGTGCCCTTAACTGCAGGAGGGGATCCCGCTGCTAATTTTAATTAAATAAAACAAAGGACTCAAAAGATTATACATCGATCAATGAGTCTATTAATGTTGGCGGTTGACCTATGTTATTTCCAAGCTTTAATTTTCTTAAATTCTAAATATGCAACCTCTGCCTTTAGCTTAAATTAATTAGAACCTTAACTATATGTTGAGATGCCACTGCAGAGTGTTGACTATTTGTACGAAAATTAAAGCAGAAGTGTTGACTAGTACTGTTTTGTGTTACTTTCCATCATGCCCTGTCTCCTATTGGGAGAAATCTTTAGTTTCATAATCATACTACATCATCCATTCAACCAAAGACACACATAGGGACACGTCTGAATTTGTATCTCACACGGCCCCTTTCTCGCGAACTCGGAAGTAAGAACGTTCCTTATATGTCTTTGGTTAGACAGATGACCTTAAATGATCTGATCCTGCTTTTTGCATATAGTCACAGGCAAAAGATTAAGCAAAAAACTTGGATTTAAATGAATGATTAATAACTATTTGTATGAAATTATAACTAAAGTAATAAGGTATAAAACATCATCGGTATCGTAGAAATTAAGAACAATCCACAGTGTGTGAAAGGTGTTTGGATGAAGGGAAAATTTTGCAGCATGCGGAAAGCAATAACACGATCCTTTTCCCCGTCAATTGTGTAAAAAGTAGGGTCGGGCCGGGATCGGGTGAGTCTAATTTGTCCAACGAGTCTGCAGTCCATAATTGCCATCCTCTCCACGAGCGTGGATTCACACTCTCCAGTCTTCATGCACCTTCCAGAAGCAATATTGCTTTACTTTATTTTTACTATAAGTACTTGATATCATCATATATGTTGTTTTGAATTCCTAATAAAATTTGATAGTTGGGGAGGAAGAATAAAATTAATGTAAAACTTTAAGTTCATGGGTAAATACTTCTGATTACTTTGAGCTTTAAGCCTTGCAGATGTGATCAAGATATGTTGTTTTTTATTTTCTAATAGAATCAATAGTTGAGGGAAGGAGAATCAAATTAACCTAATATATCCCTCAGGTGCATGTATGAATAAATATTTTTATTTACTTGAGCTTCAAGCGTAGCGTTACAAGCTGGTGATCATGGATAGATTTTTCAGTATAATCGGTACATGAGGTGGTACATCACGTGTCACTATATAAATGGTGGAATATGTGTGTTAAAAAGTTAATAACTTAAAAAGCAAAATTTCTCACCACTTATATAAAAACATGTGATGTATCACCTGTGTTCCCGTCACAATAAAAAATTTCTTGTGATCATGATATATAACTATATTTAAATCATCTTGAACACCAGCACGTCAAAAACATATACGTTTGTTTTTAGAGACTTTTCTACCATGCATGCATGCAGTATCTAACGTAAATTATTAAATCAGCTATGTTTCGAATCATGGTGCAATAATTAACCCATGTAAACAAGATTAATAGGGAGAGGTCCTAATAATCAATGCAAATGCCCTTTCATTAATTATCTGAAAGAAACTGATACAAAGTAAAGTGAACGAATGAAACAGGACAAATATGGAATCATTCGACGTTACAAACAGTTATACGACTACGTACGTAGGATCCAACATCGAATTAATTAGGGCATAATAGAACATGCGCATGCAAGTATTCATGGGGTGACGACTAGCTAATTAAAGCTTGCTTGATCAAAAGGCAAAGAAGGAGGCGGCTGCGAGCACGACAGCACCAGCGGTGGAGGCAGTGGAGAAGAAGGCTGGGAGGGCGGCGGTTTTAGAGGGAGCCTCAGCGGGCAAGGGTGTGTCCGCAGTCAGAACGTCAGAGGGAGGCTCCGTAGTAGTGTCACGGGTAGGGGAAGGAGGGGATGCTGAGGCTGAGTCATCAGGGGAAGGGGCGGAGGCGCTGGATGAGTCGTCGGAAGATGGACCGGAGCTACTGTCCTTGTCTTTTGATGACTTAGGGGAAGAAGCCGGACTGCTACTGCTGTCGTCCTTGTCTTTTGAGGACTTGGGAGAGCTGGAGGAGGAAGAAGAAGACTTAGGCGACGGTGATGAGCTGTCTTTACCGCTGTCTTTGCCGCTGTCCTTGCTGGATTTGGGTGAGCTGGCAGAGGATTTAGGTGACGGAGATGAGCTGTCTTTGTCGCTGCTCTTGCTTGGAGCCGGAGCAGATGATGATTTGTCCTTGTCTGATGACTTATCATCGTCGGATGACTTGGGCGACGGTGCTGATGGGCTTGGGGCGGATGAGGACTTGCTGTCCGATGATTTGTCCTTGTCTGATGATGATTTGTGCTTGTCTGATGATGATTTGTCCTTATCTGATGATGGAGAGGAGGATGGGGAAGATGAAGATGAACTGTCAGAGTCTTTTTTATCGTCCTTCTTCGGCGATTCCGAAGGACTACTGCCCGAATCCGCTGCCATCGCAACTCCGACAACGGCAAACAAGATCAGAGCAATGAGAACCAATTCTCGACGCGCCATTTTTCTTCTCGCTCTTCTTCCCTTTGTTTTTGTCGAAATTAGGGTTTGCTGCAGCTTATAACCTGTTCCGTTAATTCGTTTACTTGCCTTGCAAGGTAGGTTTTTCTCTTGTGTTTGAGATAGTTGATGAATGGTTATTGCAGTTGTTTGTCTCTAAATATATTTATAGTGGTAAAGTATAGAGAAACACTGCGCAACCAAAGGACGTAGGTGGATCATAATATGGTTGAATGGAAATGAGATTTATAGGACTCAGCGTGGAAGGGAGACAGCATAGGAAAATTGTGGAGGATAAGACACCAGAGTTAGTTTATTCTGTCGTGACCTTATGACCATTAATTTTAAGTAATTACTTAATTAACTTGTGGTTAAGAAGTAATGTGGTTTCTTGGCTGAGCGGGCTTAACGGATCATGGTTCGAAAATTACAAGGATCTTGAATTTCGAGCGGACATTCAGAATTGCGTGTTTCTACTCATGTTTTTTTTGTAAAAATAAACTATTATTAACTACAAATTTAGAAAGAAATAAGACAAGGACCTTCCCGTTGTGTGGAGAAAATTTTCAGTGTGTCTGAAACATGAGGTGGTACATCACATGTCATTGTATAAGTGGAGGGAAATTTTATTGTTCAAGTGTCTCTTCATTTATATAATGACATGTGGTATACCATCCCATGTTTCAGGCACACTAAAAAATCTCTTCACTTTGTGATAAGATTTGGTTTTGGGACGACGACGATTAGTTATGCTGCTAATTTTGAACTAGCCACAAAAATATATCATTGCACTTATATGAGTCAAATTTGAGACCTTATTCCATTTAGGTGGTGACAACTATGTACTCTACTTCAATTTTTATATTACATTTCACCACTTTTCTAATAGAGATGAGATCCCAAATGTTGGTGGGACCTACCTTTATTAGAGAGATGTACAAATGTCATATGAAAGATGTGATAAGTATAACATCACTCATTTATTTTGATAAGTTTATGTGTACGCATTGTTGGCTAGAGAAACTAACCTACGTACAGTAAGGAATACCACTATATAGTAGGTTCGCACAAATCCTGTATTAATGTATGTTTAATAAAAAATGATATTCTTATCATATTTTTCATAACCACGTTTGCATAATCTCTCTATTAGAGATTGAACATGCATGTTTTGGTGGCCTTACATCTATCTTAAAAGCAGTCTAAGTGCGGTAAGTATAGCATTACTCATTATCAACCCAATGACGGTTTTGTTGCCCTAAATTAGGGAGAGCCGTTTTGTAAAAAAGAAACACAACATTGAGACAACCCTATAACTCCAGCAATGAGTAGCCCAGTAAACGTGGGCCAGATAAACCCACAAGCCCAGGATCCAAACTTTTATCCAAATCCAAACCGGATTACCCGACCAGCACCTTCTCTTTGCTCCTCTGCCAGATAGAAAACGCAACACAATCCATGGAGGCTGAACCCGCACCGGAACCCGGATCCACAAGCTTCCCCTCCGCCGTCAACGGCGGCAAGACGTTGGAGGAATGTCAAACCATGATCCAGAGGAGCCTCCGGAGTACGCTCCTACTTTCCCTCGCTTTTTATTTTCCATTAAACAAATTCATGTCATGAATTCTAATGTCTGCTCAGGGTTTAGGGTTTTAGGGCTTTAGGGTTTATCTTTGGTTTCCGTATATTTATCTGCAACCAAAAATGCTTTCGCTGTCGGTTATTGAATTTGATTTGATCTGTTTCTTCGACAGCTCCGGTGGTGAAATTTCTGTTGAAGCATTTGGAGCAGTCTGGGTGTGGGATTGGAGACAGGTTCATCAAGGCCATTAATTGCAACAAGCAGATTGCCGGCGGTTATGTTCGTGGCGAAGGGGTACAATTGAATCGCTATTCCTCTTCATTTCTATTTGTTTAGTTGAAAAGCTCTGATTTTTACAGATTTCAGCAAACTTCATTTTGCAATTGGAATTTAGCAAATGCAATAGAATCTGTGTATTACTACTTCGAATGAATATTTTGTTTTGAAAGTTTCAATCTTCGAGTGAACTGAGTGGCGGAACATAGTTTCTTGTCATTCAATTATCTCTGTCAATTGATTCTTTGTAGAAGAATGTTCTGTTGTTCGGAATAGTGTCTGCAGGATGAGCTTCTTCTGAATCTGATATATTTTATCTGTTCTGTCTGTCTGCATTTGTGCTAGATACTGGTGTGTGGTAATCATATGACAATGCAAGACGATGTCAACCAAGTAGTGATACACGAGCTAATTCATGCTTTTGACGATTGTCGTGCTAAAAACTTGGATTGGTCTAATTGTGCTCATCATGCTTGCAGTGAGGTGTGCGTTGATATAGAAACTGAATCTTTTTCTTGTACTGGACGTATTGTATCTTCAAACCTCAAGTTTATTTGTTTTTCACAAGTATTTATATACCGTCGTTCTGCAACAGATTCGTGCTGGCCATCTAAGTGGTGACTGCCACTATAAAAGGGAATTGTTGCGGGGTTTTGTAAAGATTCGAGGTCATGAACAAGTGAGTTATTTGGCTTCAATTTAAATAAAAACTAAATGCATATTCTTCAGGATACTTTCTTTGCATATAAAGTGAACTAGTCTGTTACCTTAATTTGATTTGGAAAGATGAAGACCAAATACCTACAGTCATAGGAAGGGGGAAACAGACCTTTTCATATATAACCAAGTTTGGATTTGTTGTACCGAATACAATGTCACTTGATTTCTGTTTTTCTTTGATTGCCTCATTGTGAAGTTAAAAATAGTGGTTTTAATGAATCATGGTAATTGGTTGAAATAAACCGGAGATGGAGAAAACATTTCTCATATTCTTAGTTTTTTTTTTCCATTTGCTTGCAATATTATCATATGCTCTAGTTTATTGTTTGTAGACTAACTGTACCTTTTCATTGGATTCTCAATTTGACATTTGAAGGATTGTGTGAGACGAAGAGTTATGAAATCAGTTATTTCCAATCCGTATTGCTCAGAAGCAGCTGCAAAGGACGCCATGGAAGCTGTTTGGGATGTATGTTACAATGATACCCAGCCCTTTGACAGAGCTCCTTAAGAAACAGTAATAGGTATTTGCCTGATCGCAACCAGTCAACTCCATGTTTCAAAATTTTAATCTGGCATTCCAGAAGATTGTCCATTAAGAGAAACAGGGTTGTTCCCTGATTATTTTTTTTGGCTGCATAAGATATATTCATTTAAAAAATTATTTTCTTTCTTTACATGGCTGTATGAGGAAATTTTACTGTATCAGATTGTCATACAGATTGTACACCGACAACGGTTGTTTTTTGTGCTTACGTTTCAAAATAATGCCAATTTATCATGCTCATTTTTCCTTCAAATTTGTCGAACTACGTGTTGTTTTATTAATACATACCCAAAGATTGCAACTTGAATGTTGATTATGGTCAGGCCAACAAAACGACCATGGAATTTATTGGTTCCACCAAGTAATAACTAGATGAGTCTGTTCTGCAGACCCCATAATGTTAGAGGCTATTACTTACAGATCGGGATCGTGGACCATATGGTGATCACATAGATATCCCTTTCTTTTTCTGAATTTTGATTCTAATTAGGTTTAGAGGGAGCCTTGGCCGAGGCTTGGGGTGTTCGAGCCTTGGCTGGCTTCTTGAAGCTGGAGGGTGAAGGAGAGGGACTAGTCCCAGACGTAGGGGATGCAGCTGGTCTGGTGGACTTTTTGGGCTTCTTGAAGCTGGAGGGTGAAGGAGAGGGACTAGTCCCAGAGGTGGGGGATGCAGCTGGACTGGTGGACTTCTTGGGCTTCTTGGGCTTCCTGAAGCTGGGGGGTGAACTGGCTGGCGCCGATTGGGGCGATGATGATGGTGCAGACTTAGGTGAAGAAGATGGAGAGGACGATGAAGACATGGGGGATGGTGCTGGGGCAGAGGACGGTGATTTAGTGGCACCTGACGGAGATGGAGTTTTGTCTTTGGATGGAGCTTTGGCAGTGGCTGGACCTTTGGCGGGTGATGATGCTGGCGCCTTGGATGGAGAACTGGACGGGGCAGATCCCGGTGACGGTGATGCTGCTGGTGCCTTTGCCTTTTTTGCTGAAACCCCAGCAATAATGACAATAAAGATGAGAGTAAGGACGACCACTTGATTTGCCATCTTGTCTTGTCTGTCTCAGTTTCGAGTTTTTATTCCGGTCTTTGTAATATTGTTCTTTGAAACAAAGGAGGTAGTGTGGAGGTTGATGGTGAACGGAATGAGATATATAAAGATCGATTCGGTAGGTGGCTGGTGGTGGTGGTGGATGGGAGGGAGATGAAGTAGGAGGAATTTGTGTCTTGCTGCAGGACAAGGCTTTTCTTGGAAGAACTATAATTAGAAATCAAAACAAGAACCTTTCGTTATGGGGACATCTGCGATGGTGTTTCTTCTTTTTACTCGAAAAACATATATTAGACACCATTTGAGACCGAGTCTCTGATGGCACCTCAAATTAGAAATGCATGAAAATTTCGACATCGTTCAAATTTAATCCTCGAGGACAATGAACTGTGAGGTGATAACCTTTGGACTTCATGAACCCCCAAAATCCTTTCATTAGGTCCCTTGGTCGGATTACGGTGTCCATCTCTTTACGCTTAGATTCGTTTTCCTCGTTGCAGATTAGAGAAGTTCGTATGTCGTGTTATTAAAATGATATGTAAGTGTACACAAAAATATCAGTCCGACTTCTCTTCTTAGTTCATTATCTCCTGTCCTATCTAAACTTTTATCATTAGTTTGACGACCTATTCATAAATGTTAATTGTCTACTAATTGTTTGTGTTATACTTTCTAAATGTTAGTCAACACCGAAATAACAACAATTGGAAACATGGTAAATGGTATGACAGTATCTGAGTCGTTGAAAGTAAATTAACAACGTAGAAATTAACAAATTGATTGGTTGTTCCATGCATGCACAGTGTGCCATGAAAAAATTAGGACTCTTGATTTCATTAATTTAATTTACAATGCGTATAATATATAAATATATATGAGTAATTACATAAGTGTATAAGAGGTAGGACTCCTAAACTTATCTAGTATCGTGCCAAACAATTTCTGATAGGGTAATGTTAGGGAGACTGAAATTTTGAAACCAAATGATGTGGTAGTTGATGACAGAATTATTATTTAGGTGTTGATTAACGAGCTTATTTCATATTAGTGACACATCATTTAGTTTAAGAACCTGAGATCCGCCTCAGATTGGACACTTGATCTCGCTCCTTTATGTCTCATACAACTGTTGTCCTCTATCCTTCCACCCGTCCGCACACAAATCCTTCAATTGCCTGCTAGATGCTTGCCTTCGAAAGAGTAGACTTACCTGGTCATTGTGTTTGCTACCCACGTCGAGAGCGAGTGTTGCTCACTTAAACGAAGACGTGCGAAAACGCTTTGGTGGTTTGGGTCTCTGCTTCGCCTCCTTTTGCAGTTCTGATTATGTTTTGTCTACTTGCTTTGTTGGTAGCAGAATTCTTCCGTTGCTAATGTTGGTTGTTTCTTTCGTTAGCAAAGTGATTTTGGAGATGTTGTGAAATTAGAAATTTGTTTCGTTATTAATTTGGGGCTGCTTTGCTCATTTGTGTTTTTGTTAATTTTGGGGCCTTTGGTTTTTGTTGGTGTTGACGGTGAATCTGCTAACTCAAGCGATGAAATGGCGAAGTGCACGATGACTGTGGCAGTGACGACTTGTGTCAACATACTGAGTCTAATTGGGTTATCATGTGCTTTGCTTGGGCTTCTTTGTTCTTTTGTCTTAATTGCTGCTCGTTTTTATGTTTATCTATTATAACATATTTATTTATCAATCAAGTTTATGTTTAAAAAAAAAATCCAAGAATATAACAATCAGAAAATTGGGTTAGGCATAGTTTCACGTGCATGCAGATGAATTCCAAAACATTAAATTTCCAAGAATATAACAATCAAAAAATTGGGTTAGGCATAGTTTTACATGCATGCAGATGAATTCTAAAACATTTTTTTTTTATTTAGCTACCCAACATGGTGGATGAAGGACCCTGCTACCCTGAGGGTTTAAAAGGGCACTTGGTTAGGATTCATGTAGACAACCAATTACTTTAATGCTCTACTTGGTCACAAACCCACATTGCTAAGCTCAGCCAAAACATTTTTTTCTCACATAAAATTGTTATATGCTTCCTTATTATTTCAAACAAATAAGTTACCATGCAATTGGTTTCCATTTTCCAACTAAAAATTCAAGTTAAAAAATAGTTCTTGTATTCTAAAGGGATACTTTGGATGCGGTCCCTAATCCTTAACATTCTTTGATTAAAACCTTAATAGTATTTAAATTTTGATCAAGGTCCCTTGATTTTGTACACCTCATTATATTACTATTAATATTTATATTTTTATAGTGACATTAATTGTTAGATATTTTATGAGATTTATAATCCTATAAATTTAAAATCTCTCATTATAATACCATTAGAAACGGTTACAATAAAAAAATTCAAACATTTTGATTGAATAAATGGATAAAAACTATGTAAAAATAAGAAATAATAAATGGCAAAAGAATGCATCCATAGTGTTAAAAAAAAATTGGTACATTTCACATATAACAAAGTGGTACATTAATAAAGAAGAATGGGTACATTATAAATAAATTAGGGTACATATAAAAGATTAAAAATTATGAGTACAAATGAATTTTTTAAAATATAGGCACTAAAAGAAATTAATACATGGGTAGAAAATAAAACTAAAAAGAAAATAATACAAATTAAAAAAAATGTTGCAAATTAAAAGTGGGTACAAACTAAAAATATAAATATATGATACAAAGTTTAGGCATAAAACATAAATATACCATATGTAATTTTTCTATCATTGATTAAATATACAATGTCACGCGACGGTATACACATGGGTACAAACACAAACAAAACTTTAAAAAATATGGGCACAAAAAGAAACTAATAAATGGGTACAAATTAAAAATGAAAAGAAAATTGGTACAAATTAAAAATATTTGCAAATTAAAAATAGGTACAAACTGAAAAAAATAAAAATAAAATTAGCCATAAATATAAATATACTAATTGTAACATTTTTAACACTAAAGGAATATATTTAAAAATAAAAATATTTTATTATTCAAATAATTAATGATGTTATTAATACCCAAGGACCTTGATCAAAAATTCAAAATGAATAAGATTTTAATCAATGGAGTAACAAAAAGAAAGATGTGAACCTAATTTTCCCTATTCTAAATAGGGGCTTTTAGATCCAGGTCCAAAAATGTAGAGTGTTTTTAGGAGTGAGTCCAGTTATCTAATTATTTGTTTTTATTTCTTTTATACTCATTCTATACTTTCTAAAAATATTAAAAATCAATTAAAATCTTCTAATATTATGCATTTTCCAACTCCAAAAGAATATATTTAATATCTTATAACAAAAAAGCTAATATACTAACATAAATTTATCTACAAAACATTCTACCCTAACTCAAGTAACAAATATATGAATGTATATAATACCTATACGTGAGATATGAAACCTAATTAAAATGTAGAATAAACATAACATACCTACAAGTAAGACACATTAATCTGTGACAGGTTGATTATAAAAAAAGAATCTGTCATATAGGTAGATAAATATAATTAACCTGTGATATAGGTTGATTATAAAAATTAAAAATAAAATCTATAAATGGGGTTTAAAGTAGGAGGAAGAACGAGAAATAACAAAAAGATAAATAAAAAGAAATAAGCAAAGAGATAATTGGGAAGAAATTTGACTTTTATAATAAATCTTATCATGGAACAGATAACTATTGATAATTAAATAATTAAATATAACAAATTGGACTTATTTTAATAAACTGGACTATTCCTACAATTGGCTCAAAAAATTGGACTTATATCAAGTTTCCCCTTCTAAATATAAAGATTAGGGAAAATTTGAAATAGGTCCAATTTTATAGACTACCTTTTGAAATAGGTCCAATTTTTAGTGACTTTTGATTTTTGAAATAGGTCCAATTTTTAGTTACTTTGGACCTATTTCAAAAAACCCCTAAAGATTAACTTGAAATTAGTAATACTGATCAAATAGCTAGTACAAAGGATACAGATACAACAAAAAGAAGAAGAATCCACGTTAAGAGAGGAGTGGCAAAAAACATGCAAAAATACAGCAGATTGATCTTTCTCCCCCCTTTCGCAACATGCTCTAGTATTAAGACTGTTTAATTAATTTGCACAATATCTTCTTATTCATAAGTCCACGTATAGAGAGACTCTATAACGAAAGATAACATACAAGCTCAATCAATTAAATTAATTTGATAATTGGAGGCTCCTCAGTTTTTTATGAGCCTTGAGAGATCATCAGTGGGATAATCCTCCTCCTCCGATGCAGAGTCCGAGGGTCCCTGCAGCTGCGGCCTCGCCTTCTGGGGCAGCCGCGGTCCCAGACTTAGATCCAGGCTCGGTGGTCTCGCCCCCAGGAGCAGCAGCGTCGCCGCTGCTGGGAGAAGGAGGGGATGATATGTCGTTAGCAGGGCCTGGGGCTGAGGCTGGGGTGTCGGCGTCACCATCACTGGGAGAAGGAGTAGATGAGCTGGAAGATGATGGTGAGGTTGCAGCGTCAAGGGAGGAAGCCGGGGAGGGGGAGGGTGGTGATGTGACTGACTCATCTTGTGCTAAAACACCAGCGATGGCTACAAAGGTTAGGGCAAGAACAATGACTTGACGTGCCATCTTTGCTTCTTGTTTTGTGTAACCTTTTTTTTGTTCTTTGATTTGCAACACTTCTCTAGAGATAGTTATATAGGAAAACCATTGCGTAACCAACGTACCAAATTAAGGAGGTGGAAGTGGGTGGTGATCAAGAGACTAATATGAGATTAGTAGGAGTGAGAGTAGGGATAATCTGTGGAGTAAATTAATCGAAGAGAGAGAGAGAGAGGATATATATAGTTTAATTTGGTTTTAGAGGGAAGGGGAGAGAGGAGATATTATGGGTTTTCTTGGCTGGCCGGGTTTAGTGGATCATGCATGGTTCTAAAATTATTGCTAGATTAATAGAAATAGCTATTAATGGAAGGAAAAACATTTTTTTCTAACTTTGGCATTTGGATTAGGGTTTGGTTGTTTGAGAAGTATCAAGGAGACTATTGAAAGCAAGACTCTTTCGTGGTCTCTCTGACACTTAATGTTTTTGGTATAATATTTTATAATGTTGACACATAAATTAACATTAAACTATAAGGTGACAAAAAATTTATAGAGAGTTTCACTTTGAGCGAGTCCCTTCGGCATTCTCTTGATTGTTTAGATACATTATGTGCCAACCAAGAACCGACAATATGTTAATTAAATGTTTCAAACTATGCTTATTCTGCGAGAAAATGGTAAATAATATAGAACTATGATGTAAGTTAAATCTCACTATTCTACTTTCCAACTACGAAGAAATCCTTGATCATGGTGTTTATTCCTTTCAATTGATGAAGAACCGAAGTTGCATGCATGGTTTTGTGGATATATAGAACGTTGTTGTGTTAAAGACAAATTAGCCATGCTATTTAGACTCACAAAAATTATGATATTGTTCATAACTTGATATACTCTGTTATAATGTGAGTCCTAAATATAAATGTGTATGCTTAAGTGAAGATTTTATAATAAAATTAATTGACAATATAAGAAGTAACTCAATTACTTATAAAAAATGTAAGGGATTTTTTTTTTCCGATGTGGGATTTATAATCTCAACACTCACTAATGTTATCAATTTATATTTTTAAATGACAATATATTGTTTTTTCCCTATTGAAATGAAGACCAGATGGTGGTTTCGTCACGACAGTCCACCCTTAGGAGATCCGGAAAGACGCACAGAGGCATTTCAATCTCACTCTAGCCACCATCGTACGATTCACTAGCGCCATGAATTGAACTCGGAATTTGCCGTGTGGAATACATACCTGAAATTCGTCTCCAACTACTGAATCATCTATGGTGATTAATGTGACATCCCACATCGCCCAGGGGAGTGATCCTTAAATGTATATTCCCATCCCTACCTAGTACTTAAATTTAGGTGTTGATGGAAAATGATCCTTTTTAGATCCTTTTTGTGAGGATCCAGTGATCAATTAATCTTGTCCGTTCATCGTATATCATACGATTAAAATTTATTTTAAATTTTAAATTTTAAATTAAATACCAATAGTATTTAACGAAAACTGACCACACGATGTACGATAAACATACACGATTAATGGATTCCTCAAAATCTGACAAAGAGAATCCAGAGGGATCCTTTTCCGGTGTTGAGCAGTGGAAGCTGGAAGAACAAAGTGAACATATATGTAAATATGCATAATGATATGCATGTCGGGAACATCAATCTATAACATTACTTTTCAGATTTTCATGTAGCGTTAGATCTGAAGACACTTTTTCAATGGTAATGTATTTCAATGATCATAAGTTATATGGTAATGTATTTCAACGATCATAAGTTATATATAATTTAATACCGGATAGGAGAAGAAATCTAAAAGGTTAGAAAAATCTAAAATTATTTATGTAGAACTATACATATATATATATATATAATTTTTTTTTTTTTATTCGTAATGTATTTTAACAATTTAGATAGAACTATATCTTTAGTTGCATATTATATCATATTATATATTTAAGTGTATTATTTATGGATCATTTTTGTATAAAATTAGACAAATCCAAAACCATTAAGAGATCCTTGCAAAATATTATGTATATTTCAGTACATCATTCATAGATCATTCTTGCAAAAAATTAGACAAATCCAAAATCATTAAGATATTCATTTGTAGTAAAGAAAATGTATGAATATGGTTCAACAAAGAAACACTAGATTTAATCTAAGGGTCATATAGTTTTGGGCTTGAGTGATTTTGGTAGACATGATCTTTGAGCTAAAACATATTTAAAAGATAGTGTGTTGGATTGTTGAAAGCTCATGTCCTTAGATCCTAAATTATATATATTGATATATTTGCAGCTAAATTTATACTTCTCTCTAGATCATGAGCTAGCTGGGAACAAACTTGAGAGCTAGCTAGCAGGAGAGGAGGAAATTAACTAGGGTTCTAACAATTATTAGCTACAAGGATAACAAAATGAAGATTATCGTTGTAGTTCTTAAGACGATCATGATCTGCTTCTTATTTCTTTGTCAACTTCAAACGTTCGCAGCAGCAGCCAGACTTCATTTATCTGCAGGTACTAATTAGATTATTTTTCTTTCTATGACCAAACATGCATGAATTAATGTCTGCATGGTAATTAAGTTTGTACGTTCGTAGGTGGGATGAGATCACACGATCAGCAACATCAAGTACAGCATGCAGTGGGACGAAGACAAGTAAATTATGGGCATCCGTTTCCGACTCGTTCTCCATCTCCGTCTTCTTTGTCGTTGCACGATGAGGACTATTCGATCCCCGGTAGGCAGCGACCTGTGCACAATAATTACCTCGAACCCTAACTGGCCGTAATTAACCTAGCTAATTACTATGTACTCCTCATCATTTGTAGTTAATAAGAGCAGCACTGGATCAGGCAAGATAGCTAGAATTAATTCCAAGTAATTGTTTTTACTTTCATGGCTTACTTCACTTCCATAATACTACTCTCTATGGCCCTATCCTGTATGTAAATTTACCATCTATGCACATACACATGCTTAATGGAGAATTGAGACCATCTCCAGATCTCAAACTCCGGAGCCGATGGACTCAACAATATGGACCATTTAAAAGAGAGAAAGAGATGATAGCATGACTTTGTGTGTGAAGTGAGCCAGTGGGATGAGACTAATGGCGGCTCCATGATTTAAATTGAATGCTTTGTTGGGTCTGTCAGCTCCGGAATTTGAGATTCAAAGATAATCTCAATTCCTTAATGGATAGTCTAATGATCGAAATAGACTATCCATTAAACAACATTGAGGGATACTATGCCAATTTAACAGTATCAACTTAACGACATTGAGGGATACTATTCAAACACTTCTTTTAACATTTCACACATTTCTCTCAGTTTTCAGTCGTTGGATCAAATGACAGAAATTAATAGAAGATGTGTGAAGATAAAAAAAGATATATGGATAGCATTGTCCCATTCTTAATTGTGAATTATCGCGACATTAGTTCTAATTAATAGACTAAGGTAGACGTGGGCAGTCTCTTTAATTAGACCACTTTATTTTGTAGCCTGCTAATCTAATTTGACCGACAACAAGTTGATATGGAATAAAATAGTTACGCTCTACGCATGCTGTAACAGTACAGATTCGGTTTGTCCTACTTTTTACAGCCATATTACCCACTTTCTACCAAGAAATGGTACGTGGGACGAAGATATTATGAGGACAAATAAAGAAGAAGAACATATCCTTGCACGATTCTTTTCATCTGAAATAAACGATTCTTAAATAGTAAACTTTTGTAGGTAGATGGCGTTGATCACAATGATAAAAAATAATTGTGTTTATGTATTCTGATATGGATTTGACCTTTACTGACTTCTCTTTTATTTAACAACTAACTATTTAACACATTGACACATCATTCTATTAAAAAATAGTGAAATTTTTAGCATATATAATTCGGTATATTTTCCTCGTAAGTAATAAAGGTGTACACTTGCTTAGCTAGTTGCTTTACCTACTTACTACAACATTGTGGTATAGCTTTCCCTCCTATCTAAAACAGAAAATAAGGTTTTGTGCAATTAATGGGAATGATCAGATTTTGAGATTTAATTATAGAAATTGATCAGTTTTTTTAGTAAGGACGACATATTGAACATATAATGATGATTAACAATGACATAACAAGCATGCAATAATGATATAATGACAACAAAATAAACACTGATCAATTTGATAATCAAATGTCAAAAGTGATAATTCATACTAATTAACCTACATTATTTGGCCCTTCCATTAAACGAGTCAACCTACGTACAAATTCAACATACACAAATTTTATTTACACGTGTCAAATTCTCGACAAATAAGTAAATACTAAATACGACCACTTCCAATTGAACCGGATCACGAGATAACCGTCATCCTGATTCCTATCCTCCCATGTTCATATAGTAGACCTTGGTTTGTAGTAGATTATGCAGTGTCATCTTGTAATACCAAATATCAAATGGGTACATATGGTCAATATCAAGAATTCAATGCTTAAAATGCACCCTCTTAAGAGATTCGGATGAGACCAGTGGCGAGACTAGTGTGCAGTAACACATTCAGAATTTGAATCTTGAAGGGTCTTAATGTTAAGGGTTTAAGCTTTTCAGATAAAAATAGAGCGTGTAGCGCGAAAAAAATAAATAAATTTATTCACTGAGTGATTACGTCGCACACTTGGTGAGCTTGTTGTCATCAGTTGGACTATGTTATGTTTGTCAACAAATATTGATATATGCTAAAACAATATGATGCGTGCTTTTGAGATAATTTAAAAGTGTTGTCAATGCAACGAGCGAAATGCATGTCAAACACTTAGTGCTCACAAAAATGACCTGTATCAAACATACATTTAGTCCTCAAAAGACCCTTACATATATACATTTCTCCAGCTCCAAATTGTCCGGAGAGGATCCCTTTCCCACCACTGCTAGAATTACATTACTAACATCAAAAACCAGGCACCAACATCTAGGATTCATCCCAGCACAACGAATATTGTCACAATTTTATAACGACGTTTTTATTTATATTTGAATGGACTGGAGAGAGAAAAAAGTTCAAAAAACATATATAAATATGGTAGTAAATATAATTTATTGTCTCTTAGAAGAGATCGCCAGATTTAACAAGAATACACATCGTTTGTGACGAAACGTGTATGGCATCTCCGCGCCGACGACTGTCTTCTCTCTTATATTCTGCGTCTCCTCTCCTTCTCTCTCGCTCCTCCTATTCCTATTCCTCTCTCTTCCACGCATTACCCTTTTGCCCTCCTCTCTCTCTCTCTCTCTCTCTCTCTCTCTCTCTTCATCCATGGCTCCAGAACTTCAGGAGGAAAATTACACTACTGGCTCTGCTGAACCTCCCAGAAAACCAGAGTCACCGTCGTAGGCAGTGGCAACTGGGGCAGTGTTGCCGCCAAGCTCATTGCCTCCAACACCCGCAGGCTCTCTTCTTTCCACGGTATTATTACTTCCTGTTTGTTTTCTGCGTTTCCATTTTCTTTCTGCATGCAAAGCCAGAATCTTTATGTATGCCAACGGTCAGAATAGTACCCTCTAATTGTATGTTTGGTTACTGAGAAAATGAAAATATTGTAGTTTTGTTCCCTAGAGAATGCCAAATTAATTGAATTTTCTTGTTTGATTCTGGGATTTTGTTCTGTTGGGTGTTCAATGGATGAAAATTCTGAAAACCCAATTTTAATTCGAGTTTTGAATGAAAACACACTTGCAATTTGAGTTTTATTTTTATTTTTTTCCTGCATCGGAATTCAGATGAAGTGAGAATGTGGGTGTTTGAGGAAACGTTACCAAGTGGTGAGAAGCTCACAGATGCCATCAACCGCAACAATGTAAAAAAGCAATGATCTTTAATGCATTCCTCTTATATGTGAATGATTTACACCACTGAAAACGTTTGTATTGTGTTTTTCGATAGGAGAATGTGAAATATCTGCCTGGCATTAAGCTGGGGGAAAATGTTGTTGCAGACCCGGATCTTGGGAATGCAGGTACTTCTTTTCTCAGCAAAAGCTTTGCTGAACTTTTTGAAGTTACAATGTTTTGAATTTGTGTAATTTGTTGGGTGCTTGGAGCAAATTTTTTATAACAGGGGGAGTTTTGCAGTGAACGGTGCGAACATGTTGGTGTTTGTTACTCCACATCAATTTATGGAGGGTATATGCAGGAGGCTTGTTGGGAAGGTAAAAGCAGATGTGGAGGCGATTTCCCTCATCAAAGGAATGGAGGTCAAGATGGAAGGCCCATGCATGATCTCGACGCTCATCTCAGATCAATTGGGTATTAATTGTTGTGTTCTGATGGGAGCAAACATAGCTAATGAGGTTATTTAGCTTGATTTTTCACTCTTCTTAAAAGATTTAGTTTCTCAGATCATATCCCATCTGGTTCTTCTGAAACTAGAGACTCTTTGTGTAGATTGCTGTGGAGAAATTTAGTGAAGCCATGGTTGGATACAGAGAAAAAAAAGAGATTGCACAGAAATGGGTTCAGCTGTTTAATACTTCCTACTTCATAGTCACACCTGTGAGTACGTCAAATACATTGTTACAATCACTGTTGTACTGAAGTACTCTTACTATCACGAATGTTTGGCGTGGACGGGAACTAGTTTTACAACCCACGATTTAGTAAGAATTCGGTAGCGCATAAGCACTAAAACTTCTCTGCATCACATCAAGTATATATTAGAGGAATGCTCTATTTACACCTTTTTGGGTTTGTGTGAAATCTATAGGTCCAAGACGTGGAAGGAGTAGAACTGTGTGGAACCCTGAAAAATGTTGTGGCCATAGCAGCAGGTTTTGTGGACGGATTGGAGATGGGAAATAACACGAAGGTAAGTTCAAAAATTTCGGTAAAGGTTGAACCCATGTCTAATCTGCTTTTTCTATTTCATTTCGACTGCTTATTTTGAATGACCAGGCTGCAATTATGAGAATTGGTCTAAGGGAAATGAAGGCATTTTCCAAGATGTTATTCCCATCTGTCAAGGACACCACCTTCTTCGAAAGCTGTGGCGTTGCTGATCTCATCACAACATGCCGTAAGGAAGCATGGCGATCTCTTATATTCATTTTTTGTTTTTTCTTTCTTTCTAACCTCAATGTGTTTGGCAGTGGGAGGAAGAAACAGGAAAGTAGCGGAAGCTTTTGCAAGGAATGAAGGGAAAAGGTAAAAGCTCCACAATTTGGCACATAAAGCTTGTGAAAAGTAGGTGGTTTCCAACTATTACCCTTATGCATTTGTTGTCTGCAGATCGTTTGATGAGCTCGAAGCAGAAATGCTGCAGGGTCAAAAATTACAGGTTCACATTAAAAATTATGAGAACTGAACTGTGTTATTACTCAGACTTTGGGAACTATCTTTTTATCACTCAGCGCTGTTTATCAAATTTTGCTTTCCTTTTCTGAAGGGTGTCTCAACCGCAAAAGAGGTTTACGAAGTTTTAAGCCACCGTGGGTGGCTAGATTTCTTCCCACTTTTTGCAACAGTTCATGAGATCTGCATTGGCACTCTTCCTCCAACAGCCATAGTTGAACACAGTGAACGCACGCCTAAAATGTAGCCGGCTTTCTCCAAGAACCGCTTATCATGGATAGGTGGTAGTTTACTTTAGTGATGTCCTTCGCCCAAAAGCGAGGGCGAGGTGAAACTTTGGAATGTTGGTTCATACAGAAGTCAGCACTCTGCAACAATATATGGTTGCATCTTGTTTGTTCTTCAGATTGTACTCATGTTTGTGTAATCAACAGCAAGTTGTAAACTTCTTTAGAGAATACACAAGTAATAGAATAAAGAGTTTGAATGAACCATTTCTGGTGTCACAATTTGAGAATGAGAGATCGAAATCTCGATTGCAATTGTTTTTGTTTCCCGACCTTGTTTCCATATTTAACACCAAACCTTTTCTCATTTCATGAAATAGAAGTTACACAACTGCCACAAACCCAAATTACACAGCAAGAATACCATAAATTAGAAGGAAGAAAAAAGACCGAAATAATTTTCCGACAACACCAAACCCTATGAATTTTGCATATGGTTTTAGAACAACAATTACCCAGTTCGTATTCTATCCAATCGATCCACACTCTTCCGTGCTCTGTCCATTTGGTGGTCGATACTTTTTCTAGACTTCTCATGGCAGTCCACGCTTCTCCGTGACCTTTCCATGTGGTCAAAAGATACTCTTAGTTTTTCTAGTTTATCAGCACTGATGAATTGATTTTTCAGTTTTTCAGGCCTATCAGTGCTCTTTCTCGGTTTCTCCCTTCGATCTGTGCTCTTCCTTGAAACTTCGTAAACATCAGTACTCTTCCGAGGCTGCTCAAACTGGTCTGTGCTTCTCCTAGAACTGTATCTCTGGGAAGGAGACTTCTCAACGGTTGATATGAACTTCTTGAGATGTCTGATATACTCAGGATAGAGCTCTAAATCACAGTGGTTTCCTCCTTTAAGCCATAGTGGTTCATATTTCTCTTTACACAGTTCCCAGAGTTGCTTGCCATGAGAACAATCGACTACTTCATCCGCAGTCCCCTACAGGAAAATATAATGGCTAAAAAATGTGAAGAGTAGGCCAATTTGGCATCTCATATAGTCATCATATATATAATCTTTCGACATGGCATGCCAGATGATGATCAGACAAACCCCTTATACATCAGGGCAATACTTTCTTAAAATTCCGTTCTTTGGCTAAAAAATCAAACCTCGGAAATTAAATGTTAAGAACAGCAAGGTTTCTATTCTCTAATGCATCAATAAAACTGTTAACAATATGTTATATGGTATGTACATTTTGTCTGATATAAGAAATCGCAGAAGATAATATCTGGTCAAATGCATGCATCAAAAGGAGTCTGGTTTGGTTGAGTGTTAACATATATGATATTATAAGGTTGACGAATATGGAGTAGCATACTTACATGAATGATGAGAACGGGACAATGGACCAGTGGAATTTTATCGATATTCTGTGCGTAAATAACACAATAAAACTTACAATTAGATCAAGGCCAAAAACTTGGCAACTAAGCGTAAGATAAGATACGCAAAATTGAAGAGTGTTGTGTTACCTTATAAATGTCAAACCAGTACGAACGCTTTACAGGATACATGACCCTTAAACCAGAAAGTATGGGACTATGCAAGACAACAGCTCTTAACTGAGGCAGCCGAGCAGCAAGATCCAGCGTGGGGCCACTTCCAACAGATTGGCCATAGAGAATGATATCTTCCTGCTTAGTACCATAGCATTCTTCAAGACACTTATATGCAGCTTCAATATCTGCATATGTATTCTGCTCACTTGCCTGGAACACAGAAAATATGGGACTTACATGATGCACTGTGCTCAAACAACTACTTAATACAAAAACTATTCAAATCTCCAACAGACCTTTCCAGTTGATTGCCCATACCCCGAATAGTCGTACCTGAAAGACATACCGATATGTAAGCATTGTCAATGGTAAAGGATCAAACTGTATCAGTAAGTTATGCAATGGCACTGGTAAAGATTATACAGCCTCAGTTAGTAGATTATACAAAGCTACACCACAACTGCAATCACGGTGGACATTAAATTACTGAATCACAGTACGAAAGGCGCTAGCAATTACTCAATCATCTCAGACTAGACTGTCTAAACAGGCAAAGGGGCTGGAGAATTCACTCACAGATGGCAAACAACGTAGATCAACTGACCGAACCTCAACGACAAACTGATTTTGATTTCATGAAATTCTCTAAGCATAACAACTCCAGCTACATCCCGTTTCAGCTATAACTTCAAATTAAAAGATGAAGAACTACTCCAATATCTACAAAATATCCACTTTATGGTAAAATCCCATAAATTAATACCATAAAATCCCAAACAAATATAGCTGATCAGTAGACTAGTAAAACTGATGCCAAGAATAGTAATCCAGCAACAAAAACTAACAAAGGCTCTGACTTTAGAAAAACCCAGAAGCCAACACTAGCGAGTAATCAAGAAAAATGAACACAAAGCTCAAAATCTGGAGATAAAAAACCCAAGATTCCAAAAATGACAGAGTAGCAAAAAATGGCAAACTTGGAAGAAGAGAGAGAGTAGAGAACAGAGTACCCCATGAGATTGACGCGCAGGTGGATGCTCAATTCGATGAAGAGCTCGTACATCTGGCCCAGATCGGCGGCGTTGCCGTGGGAGTAGAGCAGAGTGGAAGTGGCCAAAGGGTGGCGAATGTAGATTGCCACAACCTCAGTGCCACGGCGGGTCGGCAGTTTCAGAACCTCCACGTTTTCCCGGTGAGGGAAGGGGCTGAGAAGCAGGAGGCCGGTGTGGTCGTCTGTGATGAGCTTGTAGGAAGGTGGGTTCGGTGGGAAAAAGGCGAACTTGGCCGCCATGGACGACGTCACCCCACCCATATCACTCTCTCTCTCTCAAAACTGGCAGCTCACTCACTCACTCTCTCTCTCCTCTTTCTCTCTCTCTAATGGGAAAAAGAACGTAAATTTTAATTTGGGTTTTTGCGAATTGTTAGTGTGGGAAGTGGGTTCAGATCAACATTCCTTTCTTTTTTTCCTTTTCTCCAGAAGCTTATTCTTTACGGCAAAAGAAAAAGAGAGAGAGAGAGAGAGAGAGAGAAGAAGAGAACTGTATGAGCTACTTGAAATGTATGTATGTATGTCTCTGAGTGTGCGCAGTTGAGCGAGACAGATGGAGCATCGAGAATTAGAGATATCGAGAGACCAGGGAGAGAGGGGAGGTTTTACTGTGTTTTACAGTTTACTTGGGCTTGGGGTGAGGTAGGGTGGAGAAAACGGAACATGGAAATCTCAAGCGAGAACAGAACATGTAAAAATATAATTTTTCGTTAAAGTGAATAGTGTTGAGAGTTTTCATTAAAGTTCTCTAATATAAATTGAAGAGGGTTCAAGAGAAAGAAAGGAAGGGGAGGTTTTATTGTATTTTACAGTTTTCTATTACTATACTTATTTAATGACACGTGGAGTATCTATTTGAATTGCGGGAATTTTGAAATTTTTTTCCTCGATCACATCATTCATATAGTAACGTTCGCTACATAGGCCTCACCATATGCTTGTGTTAGCATAACTAGGCAATCTTAGGATAATTTTTCTTCGTAGAATGAAAGTCTCATATTAGCTGGTCATTAAAGAAAGACTTTTACGCAACAAGAATGTTACCGTATGATTTTGAAGAAATGGTGGGACTTCTTTCCTCCCTTGAGACCTCTCTAGACACTCAGAATGCACAATAACTCATTAGACTAAAGATACAATGCAATATAAAAAAGTTAAAACGCGTGATATTAGGTAATTTTTTACCTAACCACACTATTATGTAAAATAATTAAAACACATGACCGTAAGTTATTAAACTGGGATACCACGATGGTGACATTTCCGTAGTAAATACATTTATCTTGAGTGAGAGTCATAGGGTTGGACCATGGGACATGGGAATGCATAATTTTTGTAGGGACATGGAAAATTGAGTCAATTGACAGAAGGAGAAGTGTAGGATGCTTAATTTGGTGAATTTGGTACCACTAAGCACAAGGCCACCTCACCACCCCATGCACCCATGTGGATAAAGTTGCTTGTCGTTTCAATTTTCACCATGAAGCCATGCCAACCCTAAAAAGGAATGAATGAATGAATGAATGCATGATTAAAGTTAAAAACCAATGTGAAAACTAAACATGCCCAAAAAAATAATTAAAAGCAAAGCACGCATAGGTTGACAAAGAATGCTTAGGATTCCAGCCATAGGTAGCTTTCTTATTCCAAGCTAAGCTACTAGAGAACATAAGTTAAAAGAGCTTACATTCCGAATCGAAACGGAGCTCAACTTGCTCGGGCGATTCTTATATGCAATCTGTGGATTATCACTGTTTGTTTATCACACTATCTTACTTATTGCGTGACATTTGATGAATTTGAGTGGTGGATCATAGTATAAATTTGGGTGCTGGATCATTGTCCACAAATATTGCTTTAAAGAATTTAATTCAAGTTAATCACTCTTATAAACATGGATTCATACAGCATAGTGCAGAGACTTTAAGAAAAAAGACTTGGAAAGAGACTTGAATAAAAGACATGGAATACTTGAAGTTAATAAAGAGTTTGTGCAAAACTGAGTGCAGCAATGTTCTAGGATTCATACAGCCAACTCCACTTAGTGAAATAAGATTTTGTTGATGCTGATGTTGTAATCACTCTTATAAACCATGCAGGATCGAGGACTATATGATTATGACTTTATATGGATGTAGCTAATTGTCGTTTTCTATTCAATTTTCTTGGTCATGAATTTAAGAGGACTTCAGAAAACTTGAAGAGAAATTAAGGAAACGAATTGAAGAAAACAGTTGGGTAGAATAACAGTCTGTATTATTTCCCTTTTTGCCTTTTTAGGTGATGCATAAAGCTTTGTAAACTGAAATGCAAACACTTGTTTAGTTTTTACTACACTCTACCTCACGAGAAAAAAAAATTTGCATGCAATTGGAACGTTAATGTAACAGTCTACAATTAAACAATGTCATAAGAATAAATAAAAAAACATAATAATGTATGATAAACTCAAAATACCATCTATGTAAGTTTCTCTCCGGTATTATACTCGCAGCATATACAAATCATATATGTTGGAGTAAATAGAAGGGATGAGTGGCCCGATGACCAATACAAGTCATATGATTGATCTCCATGCCTCAGAATCCAGATCCCAGTAGTGGCATTTCCCCATCTCTATAAAAAGATGTGTCAAAAAATGTGTCCAAGACAGTGTAACTTCGTATCCAACACCCTCTTGTCCCACCCAGAAGAACCAAGCAAAGGTTCAATTTTTTTCGTTGACTATTGTATTAACCAAGTTCTTCTGCACAAAATGCCAGCATAAATTTATGTTCCATACTGTTGGTGAACAGTTAAAATGGGAAGAAGGGCAGTGAAGAATGAAGTTTTCTTACCCTTGGGAGTTGCGGCTCAAAGTTGAGACTCGAGACTCGAGAGAGAAACTAACTTACACCAATGATAGCAATGTAATAACTGTTTAAATCAACCACGTTTGTAACTTTCTTGAGTGACAATATATGATTAGCGGCGCAATAACATCTCCGCTCAATCATAACTGCAAGCACTAAACAAAAAGATTGTTCCTTTTAAGGTATTAAATACAGTGAATTGCTAGCATTTCATGTTAGTAAGGAGATATTTTTAAGTGTATTTGAAATACGGTCACACACATCATATATGATTATACAAGTGAAGAGACAGTTAAAAAACAAATTCCCTTCACTTATGATTTATATGATGACATATGACGTACCGTTCCGTGTTTTGTGCATGTTAAAAAAATCTAGGGGTCCTCATCTCTCCCATGGAAAGCGCACGACATGCTAAATGGTCATTTGGTCAAACCTAATAACGCTTTTTTTCTCAAATGTGGGTTAGCTCTATACTCAGTAGGGATATTAGCAACATTTTCACCCAAATTTTCTTATTTTATATTTATGACACTTATATTTTTATCTTGTATTATTGCTTGATGCTAAATCTCTTAACGTTTAAATGAGAAATATGATTCGTTTATGAATAGTGTTATTTTTACCTCTCACACGCATTCGTTAGTTTTTGACCATTGATGTTATTCAATTCACTCGGTGACGGCCGAAAATTGATAGGGATGTGTCTTGTGTAAGAAGTAAAATGGATGTGTGGATAATACTACCTTTTGTTTATTTATAAGATAACTGTTAGATGATTAAATAATTTTAGATTTAGTTAATTTGTTGCATAGAAGATTTAATAACGCAAGAAATAACGATTCATATAATATCATGCAACGTTATAAAATGATCAAGAAAATTGAGAAAAGTAGAACGAGAATATTCGAATGAAAAGATCGTTAGCATTTCTCTATCTAGCTCAGTCGACCTCATCCATGTGTTTCTCAAATTTAGAATATCGCTTTGTGAAAAATTACGATGTTTTCACCAACCCCACCATACTAAACGCAAACTATTATTATATCAACCACCATGCTAAACACAAACTATTATGATATCAACCACAACTTTAACCCCACATTTCAAGGAGATCATCTCCGGATCTCTTCCTCCAACATCCACGAATTAAGTGATCTGGACCCTTAAAATTTAATCAAACAACCAAAAGTTATTATAACTTTTAAAAGTTTTTACTAACTTCTTGTTTTTAATTGTTGAATCAAATTTTAAGGGTCATGATCACTTGATTCGTGAGCTTCCAAATTTCAGGGCTCCAACCAAACCGAGGGTAAGAATACAAACACTAGAATTATTGGTGGAAAATGACTTATTAACGACTAATATATGATCGAACGGATGGTCGGCACGGCAGAGCTGAGAACGAATGAAGCCAACGGCATAAAAATGTGAATGTTTATGTCGTTTATTAGGAAAATGGTGGGTGGGTCTCACAGGGTTTAAATCTATCTTCCTGTTATTGTGATGGGATGATAAGACCTGTCTCTTTTGAGCTGCAGATATTTCGGAAATGCTTTTCATAATAAATCACATTTTATACACTAAGGAAGATTCTATAATACACCGATACGTATTGGACGATTGGAGTTGCATATCTCGAGTTTGAATGTTTATTGTCTTAATCTGATCGTTGAAATACCAATGCATTATGTGTATTATAACAAATCCCCTCGTTTAATACTTAGTGTATGATGTAAATGTAAAAGAATCTCGCATCTGTGAAGGACGAAACTTTGTAAGGGCTTATATGATGTTGAGTGCTCCCCATATAACAAATTGGTTGTATGGTGAAACCCAAACTTTTTCCATAGTATCAAAGCACGTTGTCCCACGTATAAAGCCAAACGCCCACACGTGCTTCACTTCATTATTTTCTGTTGTTCACGTGTTAAAGTTGAAAATTCGCAACATGTAAGGAGGCACATTGAATGAATCACATATTGATGGAACCTCAACTTTTTTCACTTAGTTGCATGTTTGTTTCATAAAACGAAGAACAATTTTACGATAATATGCTTCACCCTATGAACTCCATTTCGATTTGTTCCATTTTTATGGCGGAAATGACATGCAGACTAGTCGTGTGAAAAAAAAAATACACACACAATTGAATGCAACCAACAACAAGACAAAAAAAATTCGAAATTTCAAATTTTGCTGCTAAATTTGAGATAATGTTATGGCAGGATCGCCTAATAATTTTAAGCTGGTCTGATATTAAGCCGGTCAATAATATGAGGAGGTTGTCCCCTTAGTGGGACCCCAACAGTTGAAGACATTCTGCCATTGGACAACTACAAGGAAAGAGATATTTTCCGGATCATTTCCTCTTAATCAACTTTAAAACGGAATGTATGTCTTTAATCCGTGACATTGAAATTTGATCAAACAATTACAAACATAACCCACTTTAAAAATTATAATAACTTTAACTGTTGGATCAAATTTCAATGACATAAATCCCTTGATTTGATGAATTAAGAGGAAGAAATTCGGAAATGATTTCTTTTCCAATATATAACATGGTATAATCGTTTTCAACTACATTACATATTATATGATATATCAATTTTTTATGGTCAAATATATGATATATCATTGTTTCATGGAAAACATACATTCCAGATGAAGACCAAACACGAGAAAACATATATTCTCTTGGTTTTTTTTTATTAGATTTATGAAAGGGACCAGTTGGTAGTTTTATCACAATAATTTATTTTTTTTGGGTCGAGAAGACTCACAGATGTATTTTAACCTCCCTTGACGACCATCAAATTCACAGAGGCTTTTCAAACCTCTTTTGACCATCATTGTGTGATTCACATGTGCCAGAATCGAATCTAAGATGTGGTGAAATACGAACTTGGAGAAACTATTCCCAACTACTGGATCATCCGGTAGTGATTTATATTTTATTATTCCATATGAATAAAATATTCAATAAACCTAATTAGACATGCAAATTGGGACTTAAGGAAACTTTTCGCACTGGTTTGGAACCCAAGATTTTGGGCCATGTGACAAACCCAACTGACCTGATTTTGTTTCGGGGGCTCAATTGGGTGAAAATCTGAGCCGAATGAAACACAATCAATTGGTTTGAATTTGGGTTGAGCCTTTTTTATTTCTTTTGGTGTGGTTTCTTCTTCTACTCAGCTTTTGGTTCGGAATTTTGAGAGAATTGTTGAAAAAAGCCCTCTATTTACGAGAACTGTCACACCCCTAAAACACGTCAGCCGTATCATCCACCTATTTTATAATGCTGTAATGCGTGGACTAGTAACTTGATGATAGTGTGACCGTCACGGTAAAAAGTTTCTCCATATCTAAGGTTGCAATAGAGAAGAATAGCCTGACAGGAAGAAACCGAAGAACTCAAAAACTGTTGATAGCGATACAAAGCATGAGGTTGCGTGAAACATTGATTAGTTTTGTGGTTTGTGATGTGTAAGAACATCCCCAATGGGGACTTTATCCTCCATGAGGTTACTATATTTCAAGCCTAAGTGAGAAATTTCATCCCTAATGAGTCGGACAATAGAGCTAAATCCATCACTAGGGCAATGAACTTCCTTTCTTAGGTAGCATAAAATGGGCTATGTCTAGACACCAAAAACAGTGGGTCCCACAAAAAAGTAGGAACTGATGTGAGCGAAATTCTATCATTTTCTCTCCACTTACGAATACACTTATACTTTCCTTATATTTATATTTTAAATTATTTTTCCTACATATTTTACTTGCAATTTAGCTAATTAATGATTGTTTTAAATTCCATACGAATTAAACTTTCAAAGTGATTTAACGTTCATGAGCATTTGTGGGTGAAATTTTCAATTTTTTTTCTTTTCAAAATTGTGTGATACTAATTTACCAGTTAGTGCTAGGTAAACTGCTGTGTTATACTTGTAAATCAAATTATTTCAGACGACAAAGTGGGGGTTTGTATCTTTCAACATATGAGATTGAAATAAGAGAATTTAATCAAACGAACGATTCATAAGTGATGAAATCTAAATTTTTCACAATTTGAACTTTTTTAGGTTGAAAGGTTCATTAAAAAAATTTAAGATAATATGTCCAAAATTAACTTAAAAAAAATTTAACACAAAAAAATTTATCGTATGATCAAATAAATACATACATAAATATATATATATATATAGCCCCATATAGAGCTCAAAAGAAATAGCCCCTTATTGGGAGAGATTATTTTATAAAGCTCCAAAAATTCCTCGAAGCTCTAAAATGGGTTATATCCACCACTTTTTCTGCCCTATATAGAGTCCCTCGCTGAAAATGCTCTAAATGAATATATCGTACACTTTAAGAGTCTAGTTGGACGTAACCTAGCGAAATTCTCCAATATGGCGATATGTATGATTTAATTATCAAATAATTAAGGTAAGTATTATTGGCATTCCAACTGTATTTTCTTTGTAAATATAGAAAGTTTGGAGTGTAGAGAAAAATTCTTTGTAAATATAGAAAGTTTGGAGTGTAGAGAAAAATTTTGCAGTGCCAATAACAATTCCTATAATTAATATTAAAAAAATAAGAGAGAAACAGCTTTCAACAGAAACGAAACCGCAAATCTTTAAGGCGTTGCCCAGAAAGGTAAAAAACAAAACTGCGCGCGGCGGTTCACCTCCTCAGCTTTACCTTAACGAGGTCGTTGGCCTTTGAAATTCACTTCCGAATTCTCTCCGGCGGCCCCGCCACTCGCCAATCACGTACGTAAGCCTCTCTCTCTCTCCCCCGTCCAAACTCCTAGTTTCAATTTCCTAAATTTTCCGAGAACCCAAACGGATCATTAGGGTTTATTGCAATCTCTCTCGCGCTCTCGGAATTGTGTGATAATCCATTAATTCTCAGGGATTGTGTTTTTGGCTCATGCGTTTATGCTGTAAAATTGATTGCATTTTAAATCGAGTTTCTTCTTACAGATTTGGGTTTAGGGTTTATGTGTTCGCATTTTGTAAATGGTTGCATGTTAATGGCCTTACTTCTTGCGGTGCCTGCTGCTACTGTGTTGGAGAGAATTCTACCAAAAAAGAAAACAAAAGAAATTTCCGAAAGCATTTCTGCAGGAAGCACTTTTGCTCATAAGTGCTTCTGCCAGAGGTGATTTTATTATGAACCAGTAAAAAATTATTTGAAAGTGCTTCTTGAAACTAGTTGGAAGTGCTTCTCCAGAAATCACACATAATGGTTTCAAATTTTTTCCGCAAAAGTAGTTAAAAGTGCTTTTGGTTTTTAGAAAACACTTTGAGCTCCTCCAAAAGCAGTTCCAAACAGTACCCTAGTAAAGTTGGGAAGCTTGGAATAGTTAGTGGAGTTGTTTTAAGATATCCTGATCAGTTTAATTTCCCACGCAGATATGAGACCCAGAATCCTTGCATCTGAAAATCAATGTCAGAAATGGCAGTACATGGTGCACACATTTTGGTTACTTGTCGGGCAAATAGATTTGCTTGCGTAGAAGTGTTGTTTTGGCATAGCCGGTAAGGAACTATGTTTGTCTTTTAAAATTTGTGTGTATTGTTTCAGATGATATCCTCATTTGACTAACAATAGGGGAACTTTTTCATTAGCTCTTTCACTGACCAATGTCATGATATTATCCCTCTAGAAAGTTGATATCATGTGTTGTATAAACGTAGTTTTGTGTTGTGCAGCTGCATTTTTGTTGTTATGTCAAAAGATAAAAAGGATTTGGTCGATTCAAGTGCAAATGATAAATTAGGACCAGACTACTTTGGTTACTATACACGGTTAGTGACAGACCTGTTATCAAAGGAAGAAGATTTTCCGCCCTTTGCTTCTCAATCCTATGGCCTATCTCAAAGCAGAGGTGTGGAGCTTAGAGGAAAAGATACGATTGAGCATAGTTATGGTATTCCTGGTTCTTTATTTGGTAACAGCATAGGAACTGGGCTTTCAGATTTCAGAAAGGAAAGATTGAAGTCATTACTCAGGCAGGGTGTGAAGGTTCTTTCACCAGAAGTTGATGAGGTATGTTGGGACGCCTACTCGTCATTTTTTTTCTTAAATGGGCGCTTCAAACAGGTGAACTATGTCTCTGCATTCATGATTTTGAATTATATGAAATGACTCTGGTCGTACTTTAATACTTTTTATACATTCGATAAATATGTCATGAAATTGAGTCGATTCTACTTTACTGTGATGTAATTGAAAATGCTGCTTTTACATTAGGGGTATTAAGTGTGCTCACATTTCATGTAGGATCAAACTAGTTATTGCATGTTCACATTTCGTATGTATCTATGTATGTATGTATGTATGTGTGCATGTATGTATATATGTATATATTTGCTATATTCAACAGTTATTGGTTTGATTCCATATGGTTTGCGGTTTGATGCATATGCTAGTCCAAGCCTGTGAGATAGAAACTGTACTTTGTTGTAACAGTATGTGTAAATGCAGATGCTAGGACCTGTTATAGGTATTAGCCGGTTAAAATCACAGCTGAAGAGAAAACAGTGTCTTACTAGAGGTGCGTTACCCGATGTTGATGCAAGGAATACTCCCTCTAAGAGACTAAAGAAATCTTCCTCGTTCTCTTCAACCAGCCTTCCTGCACTTTCAACTCCTACCAATCCTGAGTCTAGCAGAGAGGTTATAATTCTTTTCGTTGCCTCGTCACTGTTATCAAATATCAGATTTTCCGTATTGGTGTTCTTTTGTGTTGCAAAACTCAGGCTTTGCAGTCACTGGGTTTTGTAGTAATCCATGTTATGTAGAAATTGACAGTCGCATTTTTCTAATGTTGTTTAGAACGGTGTTGATGGCCACACAACAGAAACAGCTGGGTTTGTAGTTGGTGCAGAGGAGCCAAAGGTGACTAACATTCTCCCTATTGCCTTTCTATTCATTCGATTGTGTCATGTTCAAGAGTGTGTGTGTGTGTGTGGTTTAGCAATATATGCATGCTCTTGGCAACTTACTGATGGGTGGCTTTATATTGCATCATAATTTTACTCTCCAGGCTGATGATGATCTGCAGTCCCTTATAGAAACCGATAGCGGGCAGGTTGGGAGACAGTGAAGAAATATTCTGATGAATTTTCTACAACAGTAATTTTCTGAAATTCTTTCTTTCCCAATACTGGAAAGCCCAATCAAACTCCGTCTTTTCATTCATATTGGTTATATCACAATTCATATCGGGAATATGAAATTTATATTTCTGATGTGATGTTGGTTTTTCAGCTAGGGCACATGGAGCAGCAGCTTGAAAAACTTCTTGATACTGTGATGTCCTCTTGCAGGTACTTTTACAATGTAACCCAAATTTAGGTTCTTGTTCTGTGAAATTGTGAACAAGAGAATTAGTTGGGGCCGTTGTATGTTTAAACGTAATTCCAAATTCCATTGAGTTAACTGCAACTGTAACTTGTTTTCCAGGCCGATGACCCTTGGTGAGAAACACAAGCTTGGAAAACTGATTCAGAAGTTACCACCGAAAAATCTTGACCATGTTGCGGAAATGATCCAGCATAGGAACGCAGCTTATACAAATTCACCTGATGAAATTCGTGTGGATCTTGAAAGACAGGTAATGCGATGCACAGTTATCTGGTTTGCGACATTAATTAAAATTTCAACACCTTTCTAAAGTTGTATTTTTACCTTGCAGAGTAATATAACACTTTGGAGACTCTATTATTATGTTGAAGCAGTCGAGAAAGCTAGAAAGCTCGCCAAGTACGAATCCAGTGGAAGTTCACTGAATCAGGGCTGAACTTTTTGTTTGCTAAATGAAGATAGCAGTCATCAGTTGTACCCACCGCTGTATGGTTTAGACGATCATTCTGCCCCGTCTGCACACTTTCGAGTGTTCCAGATAAGTCTACTTTTTGAGACCAGAAAGGATAAAGGAGAAGCCTACACTTAACCTACAAAATTTTGGTAAAATTACGCAACATTTGCGCGTATAATCTGACCTGTGAATTTAATGATTTGGACCGTTATAGCGCAGAAGCACTCTTGTTGGAGCACCTCAAGACTCGAGACAAATGCGAGATCGGAGTTTCGATGACGATTTTTTCGTCTTTACATGTAATTGGCTTCATTTTCTGCACAGCTTGGGTGGGACTCATATTTTGTACATCTTTTACTGTATACTGACCAGAGAAAGTTATGAAATCAAAGTTTTGGGACAGCTCTGAGAAAGCTCATTTCATCAACTTATTTATAGAAATGTACCAAACAACGATATCACCGTAAGCGTAATCAGATGAGAGCGAGAATTGCATTGGATTGATAAGCGTGAGAACAATACAGGCCATACTGTTGTCGACGTGCAAGAGATACAAAATAATAACCTATCTACATAAACCTTAGCTCCCTAAAAGAAAATTTCTCGTCAAAGAAGAAACATACGCTGCCAGGATCCCCTCCCGAAACTAAGCACAAATCTTGAAGAGCTCATGCAATTACCTTGTTAAATTCAAAATGAACCACGCCTTGGTCGCTGTTCAGCAACGTTTACTCGGATTGATCTGCCATCCAAACTCTGCACGGCAAATAGAGAACGAGATCAGAGACTCTGTGAACTAATCGAGAGGCATCAAGATAACAATACTCAATTAGTTGCAAGGTGACTTCATTTACATCTATTGCAGCACTATGAATCCCTAATCGTCTAAGCAACATCTAAAAACCTAAACCCTAAAGCCTTATGAATTGAGTAATATGCTAAAATCTATGTCGTTTTCGTTTTCAGTTTCAATGCTCAACTAAACAAGGCAAATCTATTACCTGTCCATCAAGGGCAGCAATCGCATTGTCCACTTCTGTCTCGCTAGAGAATGTAACAAACCCAAACCCGCGTGAACGCCCTGATTCCCGGTCATAAACTACCCTGGCACTGACCACGTTTCCATGTTCACTGAAAACCTGCTCCAAACGAGAATCATCCACTTGCCACGGCAGATTACCAACATAGATTCTGAATGAAGGTTCATTCGTTCGAATGGGTCTTTCAGGGCGTGACCCTCTAGGAGCAGCCTTGTTTACAGTCAAAGCCCTCCCACCTATATCCTGTGTAGGAACAAATGGAACATTAACACACTCGGTTTAAGCAAGAGTCGGAAACTTAACAAGCCTTATCCTAAGTAAATTTGCACGAAAACAAGTCCATCGGGAATTATTTCAAAACTCATTCCTCTGCTCGATTTGGCGAAGTTAAACATGCGACTAAATGATTGCTGGAATTGAATCAATGTTAGATCACTTGGTAATTGGAACCAAATGTATCGACACGCATGCTTTTGCTACATTTATACTCCCTAAAGTTGAGCAATTTGAACATGATATAGTTCCATTTTCGATACACAAAACCGAAACAAAGATTCGCAACTTACGTAGCGGTGGAACATCTCCACAGCCTTCTCAGCTTCTTCAACAGTGCTCATGGTCACAAACCCAAATCCTCTGCTCTGATCAGTTTCCCTGTTGTAAATCACCTGGTCATTGCAAACAGAAAACAGTAACTCCAATGCTGCAATTTTAACCGCGAAATCGAACACAGAGAGCGAAAAAAGAGACGAAATTTACCTCAGCAATCTCAACAACTCCGGCATCATTGAAAAGATTAGCAAGTTTTTCACTGTCAACGTCATAAGGCAAATTACCCACAAAGAGCTTGGCCTCCTCCGGTGGCTCGGGATAGTATTCCTCTTCGCCGACCGCCAAAACTCCGTCGCCGGAGCTCTCCTCTGCTTCCTCCTCCTCTGCGCTTTCGGCCTCTTCTTTCAATTCTTCCTCCTGAGCCCAGTCGGAGGTCTGAGCCACGCGGAGGAACGGCAAAGACTTGTGCTTTAGAGAGAGAAACGAGGAGAGTGAGGGAGTGAAGGAGCAGGAGATTTGTGAGAGCTTGGTGGGTTTTGAGGGGAGTGAGAGAATTGGGTATTGGTGTTGGAGGGAGAATAGGGCGGGTGGCACCGCGGCGAGGCAGGTTTCGGAGCTTGATAGTGGCTTCAGAAGAGCGGCGGTTGCAGAAGCCATGGCTGGAAGGAGATAGAGAGAGAGGGGAGAGAGAGGTGGAGGAGGGGATAAGGAATGAGAGAAGGGTTTGCTTGGGTTACATTAGAGACCAGGATGGTCCAAGGATTTGCAGGTCAAGATATTTTCTTTATTTTCGACGAAAGCAAAGCCGTAAAAGAAACGTTTCTGTACGTATTTACTATTATTTTCACGAGCAAACGAATTTAGTTAAATCTCAACCGTTTGTAGTAATAAGTAATGCCAGAGAGACTCAATTTGAAAATGAAATTTTAAAAATTAAAGGACATGGAAGTTGAAGATTGATTTATTACTTAAGCATTGATAGACGTGCTTATTTCTATTGATGACACACCATTTAATTTGCAACTTTAGTTTCCAAATTAAGTCTTTCTAGCATTACTCATTTAGTATTATACTTTCAACTGTACATATTTGCTTAGTCGAGTGGACTAGAGTAGTTAGCTTCCTTCTATGGGAATGTGATCCCTTTCGGATCTTTGTGTTCGGAGTCTATGAGCCAAGAGATCTTGGTCATTTAAGAGAGGAGGAAAGAGATTTGGGCTATTTAAATTTCTTATTTTTTATGAGGTGGGCAAGTGAGATGAGCTAATGGGGGTTATGGAATTGACATTGAGTAGTTCGAATCTCTCGGTCTTAGGACTCCGGTCACAAGATCCGGAATAGATCTCATCCGAGTTGAACATAAAATATTGCATCATCGTTTATATCAAATAAATACAATAGATAGTTAAATTGGCTGAAGAGTGTGATCCTCTCTCTGCATTCCAGTTCGAATTTTCTTGCCAAATCATCTTATTCAAGTTTTTCTTTTCCAAACTTTCTAGAACAGAAGGGTTTTGAGCACTTTGTTAGTGACTCATTCATTGGAAGAAAAACCATCACAACTACATGTAGAAAATTACGACAACGTCCTGCATTTGATTTCATTATATTAATATCGTGATTGATTACAAACTTACACTACTAGGTTCGACAATAAAGTCTACATCTGTGTACTTATGCTTAATTTCATAACAAAGGGTTCAATGTTGTAGTTAATCATTCATAAAGAAATGCTAAGGAGACTCTTTTAAAGTAAGACTCTTTGTAAACTCTTTACTAGGTCACAATTTAATGTTAATTTTCGTTCCAACATTATAAAGTATTATGCTAAAACCGTGATGCGTACACTTTTAAGGGAGCCTCCTTAACATTTATCATCATTCATATACAGGTTTGAAGTTCTTGTAAGCGACCACTGCATAAAATGGATCTGAACCAGACAGCAACCCCAGGAAGCCCATGAACCAACCGAGTGGTGATTTGCTTTGTGAACCACCACCACCATTAGCATCTGGTAATTTCTAATTAGTTCAGCTTGTGTGAAACCTTCCACAGATTGGAAGTACTGCACAACCAACTGCGTCCTGCTGTATGCAGTTCCATCTCTCCATGCCCCAATGGCTTTCTCATAGAACAACCGATTGCTAAAGCTCACAATAAACACCCCTCCTGGCCTCAGAACCCTAAAAACCTCTGCAAACACCTGTAGTATCATAACGTCGAGAAATTATTGTGAGATATTGAAAATAAATACGTGATATCACTAATTGCCCATGTTATATTATGTGGATTGGTTATTACTATTACAACTTAAAACATAAATTTGTTGTCCGTCCATATATATATATATATATATTCAAAGTCCGTCAATATTATAACGCATGAATTGGTTAACAATTTTCTGCCAATAATTGTTATAATATGTGGCTGGTTAATACTACGTACCATACCTCAGAACATAAACGTCTCATTCAATCACATCATAGCACATAAATTAGTTGTACAAATTTAACTGACTCATGGTATAACTGATTCATTCCTATTATAAAATGTGGACCGCTTAGTACTACTATACCCTAAACAATAAACTCATTGTCCACTATATTATAACATATGAATTGGCTATCCCAATTTTTATTGGACACATGGTACAACCAACCCTATCGTCATATCATAATATGTGGACATGCTATCACTAGAATCACTACTATACTCTAAACATAAAACCGTCATTTGTTCATACTATAACAGTATTAATCCGTCGTTTATTTATATTATAACACTTGAATTAGTTATGTCGCGCTAATGTAATCTTAAAATCAAGGCTTTCAATTATTAATGTAACAAAAGGAAGCACATACTAACCTTCTCAGGCTGTTGAAGATACTGCACACTGACTGTACACAACACTGCATCAAAACTGCTGCTCTCCAACTCAAGCTTCTGATCCTGGTTCAGATCCTTGACAAAAAAGTAATCCAACCTAGGGTTCCTGGCAAGCTCCTGTGCATTGAGCCCATGTCCCACAACTTTCTTGTACTCAACTTCTTTCGGCAAATGGCTGATCCACGAACTCATAAGATCAAGAATCTCTGAGCCAGACCTCAGCCTCTGCCTGTATAGATTGGTCAGTGTGGCAATGAAGCCGTCATCGACATGCGTCACAAATCGCGGATAAGCGTAGAAGTCTCTGTCCGGATAAGTGTTGAGTTTTGTTCTGCCCTCTTGGGGAAGAACAAGACGTTTGATCTTGCCAGCTGAGGATGAAGATTGTTTACTGGTTCCATTGTTTTCACTAGAAGAAGTGCAGGAGATTGTTGATGGAAGTAGGAAAGGTTTGGTCTTATGGTTGCTTGCAAGAAATGGATGCCATGGTTTGAGGTTTGGATGAATTGTGACCATGTCTTTGACAATGGTTGATTCAATGACTCAAGTTTTCCCAACAACCAATTTGGGTTTTGATAAGAAGGAAACCAAAATTTGGGCTGGCTAGCAAATAGTTGATGGGCTCAAGCCCAATTAGGTATAAAACAAAGATTTTTTTTTTTTTCTTCATATTTTGTTTTGGCCAAATTGCACCAATAATTCATATGGCTTACTTGGATTTTCATTTCCTTGTTTTAATTTTGTCCTAACAGTTTCTCTACTTTTTCACTTTAGTCTACTCTGTCAACAAAGTTGATTGTTACATCCATTTTGTGCACATCGTCTCATTTTAAAAAATGGCCAGTCGAAAGGAATTATGCCTTATTTGGTGGATTGGAGTAATAATGTTAGCAAAATAAAGCCGAGAGCACACCAACGTAAAAAAAAAAAAGAAGCTACATGAACCAAAGTGAAAATCCGAGAATTCGGGAAAACTAGAAGTGCTATTGGTGCAATTCAAACAATTTTTTTTTTCTTCTACTTTGATCTTCCTCCATTTTTCTTCTCTTGGAAACTTTTTTTAAACCTTGGCAGCATGAGAAGAATTTAGTAATAACGAAAACGGAAACTACACCTAATATTATGCAATTGCTTTTCTTTTCGACAAAAGTAAGACATATTTGGTTACTTTGTTTTCTTTTGACCCATATTTCATATTTAGCTGCAGGCCCACCACAAAACAAAGACCATAATAATCATGAGTTGTCTGCTCAAACCCTCAAACGTGCATTGAGGTTCAACACATAATTATATTAACAAGGTTTTAATCTTACCGAAAGGAAAGATTAGAGACAAGCTTCCAGAGACTCTCAAAAGTAAACAGTTTCAACTCTTAATTGTATTCTTGCTTAATTCTTCACTTTCTCTAATTGCATCGAGCTAAATTTTAGCTACTACGAATAAAATTAACTAGCTGATAATCTATATTGATGGTATATTAATCTTTAGGCTCCATGGTTTATATCTATAAACTGGCTTAAAACAGGATAAACAAAAGGGGCCGGATCCGTTGATTCTTTACATATGGACTCTACTCTTCATCTCTTATTTCATAGCAAAAAATCGCATGATGAGTGAAATAGATACGTCTAAATTTTTCTTCAGTTCGAGAAAACAAAAGTGTTACTCCACCTTGTGATCACTATAACTAAAACACAGTAATTAACCATGATTGCCAGGCAATTTGATGTCCAGCTATGAATTAGGGTTTCTAGATGCAAACCATCCAATCAATCGATCGAGGGTCCCAAATCCATTGCACGTGCACCATGCACAACGTAAAGGTCAGACAAACTAAATTGTTATCCTTTTCTGCCTCCCTTCGTTCTCATGTGTCGCTTCTTACGAGGGGTCCGTACCTTTTGTCTTCTCCTCCAACCCACTTAAAGCCGAAAAATGAGTATGATTCTTTAGGCCGTGGGAAAAATGGGAATGATTGCTCAAACATTTTGGTCGCGTTTCTACTCCAAACATCCACATCAAAACCCTAAGAGCAAACCCAACTTAATCAAGGATTTGAAACTCCTTGTTGCCTACATATAGCTTTCAAAAATGGTATAAAAATTTCAACTTAGTGTCTCTCATTGTTTTTCCTTTAGGGAACCTATAGCCATTTTTTTATTACCTCCAAGTCTTTCATTATGTGCTACTACAAGTATTGTTTCCGTAGACAAAGAGGGTCACATGCATATATAGTGTAGGGAGTGTTGGAAAATGCAACTCCACATTGAAAACTGACAGATAAATTAAAATTGTATTGAATGGTCATACTCTTAAGGAACCGTTATTAGTACTCCAAAATCTCATTCTACATTGCTCACAAGTGTATTTTTCTTTCTAATTATAGAAAGTTTAGAGTGCCAAATGAGATTTTTAGAGTGTTAATAACAATTTTCTACTCTTAACTGCACACTATAATCTATAGAGATAAAATTCAATATCTATTGAGTCATGCAAGTGGTAAACTTAAGACTTATATATCGTGATTAGTAGTGAGTCGCTGTCTCCATTCTAAAATATTGAGATGGAGGGGTTGAATATTAATTTACAAGGTTGAGGAATGTTTGATATTGAAAAGCCAACTACTTTTATCATATATTAGTTAGTGGGGCTTTAATTTGTTGTAATTAAGGAGGTTAGGTGAGCCCCTTTGCCATGTTAAAATTATTATCCTTGTTAATTCATACTTTAGAAGAGACTTTAATGATGAATAGCACATATTTTTTTTAGACTTCTTGTGTGTGGAAATCATGATAGATTTTGTATTTAGATAGATTTTGTATTTAAATGTCACTATGTCTAAAGTTGTTCCATTTTCAAATGCATGGATTTATCCATTGGCATTTTAGATCCAAAAAGCCCAAATCCATTGCATTTATATATTTTACTGAAATATAGAAATTAATGATGTATTACCAATTCCAATTTATTGTTGGTGTGAACGAATGAGTAGGATTCTTTCCTTTCAAAATCTCCTCCCCTCTTCTTTCATCCTCTCTCACCTTCCTCTTTTTTTTTTTTTTTCTATAAAGAAGTCAACACAAAATATTGACGTGATTTGATTGTGGCCGTTCAAATAAGAGGAATTGAAGGAAAGGAAAATTGGAGAGAAAAGAATCCTACTCATGAACGAGAGTGATGAAATTAGCTGTGAAGGGGAAGATCTTCCTCATTACTTAGTCTCAACAAATCTATAGCTACTCTCTTAAAGGAAAGCTTCCATCAAGAAAAAAAGACAGAAAAATGGTTTACCACTATTAGAAGGTCCAAAAAATGCCATATGCATGCTTAATTTGAAAAGAGTTCCTTGTTTTCCCACGTTTTCTTGCAGAAAATAGTTTAAATCAGAATCTGAAAAATAGATACATTGGATTCGGAATTCATTAATTTGTATATAAAGTTGTGTTTCACAAAAGCCTTTTTGGAATGGAGTGCTATATATATGTGTGTGCATGTAAGGGAAGTGGAATCACAATTCAAATACTTTTGATTAGAAAAGATAGAGAACAAAAAAAAAAAAAAAAATGGTTGGCTTAGCCCCTATTTTATTTGCTCTCTTGCTAGGACTACCAATATTTGCTTATATTCTTGTGCAAATATTCTTTGTAGCACTACACTGATCATCAAAAGCCTGCTAAAAACTTGCCTCCTGGAAGCCTGGGATGGCCCTTGTTTGGAGAGACCCTGGGCTTCCTTAAACCTCATTGTTCTAACACACTCGGAAGCTTCTTGCAACAACATTGCTCTAGGTGATCCATTGTTAATTTAAGGGATTATGAAATATTCAATTTTTAGTATGTCGTCAATATCTTATCAATCAGTGAAACAATTAGGATTTAATTTCTGACTATTTAGCCAATTTTTTCTTAATTTAATCACAAAGTTCATTCATTAAATATTATTTCACTACTTTAATTAATTTGACGCATATGGTTTGGATATATGTGCAGATATGGGAAGGTTTTTAAATCGAATCTATTTGGTTCACCAACCATAGTTTCATGCGACCTTGAGCTCAACGCGTTTATTCTCCAGAACGAAGAGAAGCTTTTCCAAGCCAGCTACCCCAAGCCCATCCATGGCATTCTTGGAAAGCATTCTTTGCTCACCGTCACCGGTGAGCTTCATAGAAAGCTTAGAAACATTGGTGTCAGCTTCATTGCCACCTCTAAGTCCTCGCCGGATTTCCTCCATTGGGTTCAGAAGCTGTCTATCTCAATGATGGAGTCGTGGAATGGCTACGAACAAGTCTTCTTCTACAAACAGACTAAAGCGGTACGTATATAGACTAGTACTCTCTCATTAACCCTAATCTTTTTCTTTGATCTTCTTCTTCTTCTAGTACACTCTTCTTATATAGTTTTCGAAATTTTCTGGTTTGGACAAATTAACAGTTTACACTCCGTCTTATGGTGAACCACCTTCTGAGCGTTAAACCGGATGAGCCACTAGCCTCGAGAATATTACAAGACTTTGAAACCTACATGACGGGCTTTGTGTCTTTGCCGTTAAACATTCCGGGAACCGGTTATGCCAGGGCTGTGAAGGTAATATTATATTTGTATAAATTTAGAGTAATAATATTGTCAGGCTTGCGTTGTCAGACTATGAATTTAGACTATAATCCGACAAGAATGAATTAATAAGCATGATCAACAATATAGATTTACGATCTGACAATGAGGGGTATTAGCATTTCGTATCATCTATATATAATAATATCATCTCTTTTCTTCAGGCTAGAGCAAGGCTTTCTTTCTCTGTTAAAGAGATTATGACAGAAAGAAGAAAAGGGAAAGCTAGTGGGCAGCTCAGAGGAGGAGAAGAAGACTTCTTAGACGTGATACTGTCGAAACAGAGTCTAACGGACGAAGAAATAGTGAGCATTGTGTTGGATATAATGCTCGGAGGCTACGAGACAACGGCGACCCTTATGTCATTGATTGTCTACTTTCTCGGCCATGCGCCAATTGCTTTTCACAAATTAAAGGTAAACCATAGCCGGCCCCTCCTCCTATAATTCTCTCTTTTGTTTTCACAGAAATTTGTATGGTACATATGGAGAACACAAATCACGTAATGCTCTATTTTATTTGTTATAATAGGCGTTGACAATAAAGTTGATATGTCTTTTGACAAAAAAAAAAAAAAAAAGTTGGTATGTCTTATTTTTAAAGTTTATTAATAAAAAACAAAATTTACGTACTATAATTTGAGTAAAATGGTAACGTCAAGTGACCGTTTTCCTCTCTCTTTTTCTCGCTAGGCTAGTATACATGCATAAATCACTGTACGCCTAACATTTAGCTCCTTTTTTGTTAAAAATCTATGCAGGAAGAACACCAAACGATAAGGGAAAACAAAAAGGATGGGGAATTGTTAAATTGGGAAGATTACAAGAAAATGGATTTTACTGACTATGTATGTAATTATAACTTATTTTTATTATCTTTAAAAGTTTAGATTTGCTAATTAACTAATGTATACATGGACACATATAAAATTTGATGAAATGATCTATGCAGGTTATATATGAAGGTATGAGGTGTGGGA